AGCCGCCCCCCAGCAGGGAATGAGCCTGCAGAGGCAGCCTCCCCATAAGCACAGCCTCTGTCTGCATCAGCGGCAAACAGTTTCCCTTGCACCTCGCAGGGAAGTGTTAATGAGGAGAGCGGTGGGGAAGGGTTGCGCCTGCCTGTGGTTGTAACAGTTTGCTCCTTTTGGCTCAAAGGGACTGAGGAGCTTACACACGTCTTCTTGAGGGTAGGACAGTTACCATAATAAAGAATGTGTGCACATTTATACCGGCCAACTAACCAAAAGTGCCCAGTGCAAGCATTTCTAAAGCAAAGACTCCTGCACGAGCACAGCTGTCAGAATGCAGCTCAACCCACAGGTCAAGGCCAGTGTTGAAGGCTAAGGTTTGCCTCTCCCATGGTTGAGGTCCCTGGGGAGGACCCAGCCCCTCCACAGCCCCTACCTTTGCACTCAGGTCCAAAGCAAAGTTCCTCCCATCTGGGAGGGAAGGGATGCAATAAACCCACAGGTTTGTCCAGAAGGTAACCAAGCCCGACTGAAGTGAGGCAGGGGACTGTCCTGCTTGAGCTCGGGCTCCGCCCACCTGCAGCCTCCCAGGGGAGGAGGAGGGCACAGTACAGAAGGATGTTCTTGTCAAGGACCGGTCCTGGATTACAGTCCTGGCACTCTTCCCCTGGCCCCCATCTCACACACTTGCCTCTTTCTACGGCACAATCTATGGGTTGAAGAGGAGAAAGACTCTGGAGGCCTCCATCCAGAAACCAGAGCCAGGTGGGGAAAGAGTATAACAACCCCAAAGTCTGTTCAGAATCTACTACAACCACACCCAAGGTCAGCACTAACTAACAAGGGAGCAGGAAACGGGAAGAAAAAAGAATCAAGACGCTGCCCCTGCCCATAAGGAGCTATGTCTAAAAAGATGGGCTGGGGCGCCTGGGTGGCTCAGTCGGTTGAGCGTCCGACTTCGGGTCAGGTCATGATCTCATGAGTTCGAGCCCCACGTCAGGCTCTGTGCTGACAGCTCGGAGCCCTGGAGCCTGCTTCAGATTCTGTGCCTCCCTCTCTCTCTGCCCCAACCCACTCGCATTCTGTCTCTGTCTCTCTCAAAAATAAATAAACATTAAAAAAAATTAAAAAAAATAAAAATAAAAAGATGGGCTGAGTAGAAAAAGCAGTTAAGAGTAAATAAAGGTGATACATGAAAGGTCCTCATCAGGAACTGCATAGTGCTTGCAGCCAGGGACGGTGAGGGAGCAGTGCTCCTTAGACACCGGGGTTTTTGTTCCACTGAGGGGACGTTATGAGGGAGGAGACTGGAGCCCAAAGGTTGAGAGGCTGAGGAGGAGAAGTTTGGGGAGAAAGAGAAAGTATCTAGCAGCCTCGGGAGACAGAAAGGTTTGGGAAAACATAGATATTTTAAGTGGGACTTAAACTCCTCAACTTAACTTTGCACAAAACCTTCATAAAATCCACCTGTCAGTTGTTTTGGAGATGAATTAATGTCAGGAGCCCCACTGATGGATCGAAGGCAGCTCAGATGGCCAGAGCTGGGGCGGGCAAAGGGGGTTCAGACACTCCTGGATTACAGCAGAAAGTGGGGTCTGGGTTTCCGGAGGGGAGGCGGCTAAGGGCTTGGGCAACAGGGAAGGGAATGCTTTGCCGGGCCTGCCTGGCATGACGGCTATGGCAGGAGGGGGAGGGCTCTGAGGAGAAGAACATTCTTATAAGAAAAAGCTGTAAGAGGATGCAAAGCTACCAGAATGCCTCAAGCCTGAACCAGTGGAAGAGTCTTCTGGCAGACAGAGTGAGGGGCAGAGGGCGGTGGTAAGACGTAAGTCACTAATTCTAGTCTCTTCCAGCCTGTATATCAGTGGATGTGACCTATCTCACAAAAGAGCTGCGTAGGTTATTTATCATCTCTCACTTGGACTGGTAAATAACCCCCAACAGGGCTCCTGCCTCCAGCCTCTCCATCCCTCCAATGTATTTTCCACACACAGTGACGCTAGCGTAGTCTTTTAAAAGTCCAGCTCTCACGATTTCACTCCTGTTTAAAGTCCTTCACGGGGCACCTGGGTCAGTTAAGCATCCGACTTCGGATCTGATCATGATCTCACGGTTCCTGAGTTGGAGCCCCGTGTCAGCCTCTGTGCTGACAGCTCGGAGCCTGGAGACTGTTTCAGATTCTGTGTCTCCCTCTCTCTCTGTCCCTCCCCCACTCACGCTCTGTCTCCCTCTGTCTCAAAAATAAACATTAAAAAAAATTAAAGTCCTTCAATGACCGCTCATCACCCAGCCACCAGAATTAACCTAACTCCTGAGCAACGCACACAGCACCTCATAATCAGGCTCTGTGCCTCTTTCCAGCTTCGTCGTGGTCACTTTGCCCTCATCCCTCAAACTTCACCACACTGAACTATGCACAGTTCCTCTAACACAATTTGCTTTTTCACACCTCAGGGCCTTTGCATATGCTTCCCTTCCACCCTTTGCTTGAAATGCTTACTTCGGCTCAACTGGCAGCACCCCAGAAGCCTTCTGTGACCCTCTCTTCCCATTACTATATTCTCACAGTACCTCTTACACAACTCTCAGCTGGCACTCGCACACTGTATTCTTCACAGTCAGCACCTAGCACAGGGCCTAACTCATTGCTGGCATTCACAAAATGTTCGATAAATGACTGAACTCACAACTCAAAAAGACCCACACAGAAGACACCCTTGGCAGAGTCTCTCTCGCTGACACCCCCTTTCCTCTGAGAACTGCCCCAGGTGTCATGTGGACCAAAGGTGGACATTTGACCTAAACTGGACCAAACAGATCCCCTCTCAGGAAAGTGGAATTGGCTCCAAGAGAAGTAAGTTTGTTTCTGGAACTACAACATGCAAACTTTAGAATGTAAATTTTCTGAGGCATGTCCACCCCACCGTTCAAATCGTGCAGTAGGGAAAGTCACTCCCACAAGAAAGAAAATAAAACAGCCGGCTAGAGGATTTCGGATGGCTTTCAGGTTCCCAGGTCCAGCCCTCTCCTGAGACCGTAAGACATTCCTATCCCCAGGCTCCGTGAGACACCCCTGTTTCCTAATAATGTCTGCTACTTTGTGTTTGAGATTCCAAACATTTCTGTTCCTGACCACATAAGCCGAATTCTGTCCTTGGCAGAGCTGCTTGGGGATTCTTTTCTTCAAAAAATTTTTATGTTAATACATAAACCACACTTGGGCATAGATTAGACTGTAAATCAATAAACCCGTGCAGAACTAGCAACATGATTTACAGGGCCCAATGCAAAATGAAAATACCCTTTGTTCAAAAAGTACAATTAAAGGTCCTAAAATACAAAGCTTTTTCTTCTGTAGTCTCTCTTTTGACTTGTCATGGTATTTATTTGCTATTTAATGGCTAAGTAAATAAATATTAACATTTTATTTTTTTAATGTTTACTTATTTTGAGACAGAGAGACAGAGAGACAGAGAGAGAGAGACAGAGCATGAGGGTGGGGTGGAGCAGAGAGAGAGAGACACATAGAATCTGAAGCCAGCTCCAGGCTCCGAGCTGTCAGCACAGAGCCTGACTCAGGGCTTGAACTCACAGACAGGAGATCATGACCTGAGCCGAAGTCAGAAATCCAACAGACTGAGTGAGCCACCCAGGCGCCCCAATAAATATTAACATTTTAAATCATTAACATAAATTTTATCATTTATCTTTATATTGCATAATACGTGTATGGAGAATCACCAACATATACAATCTGTGTTTCTTGGTTTCTCCTGGAAGATATGTCAAGCCGGCCAAAGAGCTGAGCCTAAGTCCCCCGCAGGCACTGAGCTGTGTGATGGAGAATTCCATCAGATACTGGGAGACTTTCCGGGGCAAGTGCAGCCCCTCAAAGCTCCTGAAGTTCCCAATCTGAGACTCTGGCCCAGCAAGCTTGACAGCTGCTGGGTCCATCTTCCCATCAGCCCCCAGGTCCACGTGCTATGTCCTGGCTGGAGTCAGGGAGGTTAAGCCAGACATCTCCCATTACAGTGGACTGGCCAACCCAACCCACAGCAGACAGGTGAATCCCAGGGTCTTTAAACCTCCACACCCGGATGTGCTTAGCATCTGGTGGGCAAGAGACTCACCCTCACCAACTCACTTGCTGAATGTGCCATGGATCTGCCATTCTGGGGCAGAAATGGCAACCATCATGCCTACCTCTAAGATTTTACAGAACATGCACACACCGTTGACCCTCCCTGCATGCACACCGGCCCACACCAGCCCTCACCAAAGGCAGAAAGCAGCACTGTTCACTGGGTGAGGGAGGGGGAGGCTGGGTCTCAGGGCACCAGCAAGCTGGGAAGTGAGTGGTCAAGAACCCATCCAGGGAGGAGGGTAGGCTTCAGTAGCCGGTACCAGGCATGAGCCAAGGCTCCAAGCCCCTGGCACAGGCTCCGAAGACCCATCAGGTTTCACTTGTAATACACACCTTCAAAACTAAGAATTTCAAGGCCTTGGCTACAGAGCACTAAACCCTGAGTGCCGGGCTCTTCTGCTCATGGAACCATGTGTAACTATGCTGCTCATACACCCTGTACACACGAGAAAGCTCTCTAAATCCCATTAAATTACAGAAGCACAGAAAGCTGAAGGAAAAGAAGGAAAACACACTTCAGATAATATTGACAATCTTTAGAGCACTCAGACCCACAAGCCATTAATATCATGCCCATCTCATCTGAAGGACAAGCTAAAGAGCAGATGTCTTCACTCCCTTCCATCTAGACTGTTGAATTGACCAGAAGATGCGGTATGTGTGGATAAACCAGAAGTAGATTTCTAAGCGTTTTCAGGTTTTATTCCAAAATACAATGCCTTTAGCCATTCAAAGGCTATTTCGTGAAAGTACATAGAATCCTATCAAAGCAGCAAAGAGGAGGAAACATTACTAGTTTCCTTTGCCCTAATAACTTAGGCTTTTATGGCTGGACAATTCAACATGAGTTTCCCTTCTCAGAGGCTTATATAAAAAACTTTCTGTTGGCATTGGCTCCAAACAAAGCCTTTCGTATATCAGGCATCTTTTGCTGGGCTAAGAGATCCAGTCGGCTTTCTAGGGTATTCGAAACCTTTATTCTCTGATTGCCGCTGTAGACCTCCACTCCTCCAGCTGTGTTGGTAGCCAGGTGCACCTCTTGATCCACTTGGACTTCCACACATTTTTGGGAGACCATCATGTATTCAGGGATGGCTTTTTGCACTGCAGCCTCCACCAGGAGGAGGTCTTGTGGCCTGCAGCGTACAATCGCCACGGGCTCCAGCAGTCGGAGCAGACCCTGAAGCACTAGCTTATCCAGCAGCCCCTGGTAGATTGCTGGATCTGCCACAATCCCACTAAGTCTCAGCTTTGCGTCATTCAGCAACTCTGAGATGAGGTCATCTCGGGCTCTCAGGACTTTCAGCCTTGCCTGATTCCTCACGGTAGACATCTGGATCTTCTTCTGCTGCTCTATCTGCTTCTCCTTCTTCTCATAATACTCCATAATCTTCAGTCGTTGGGTTTGCACAAGATGTCCTTTCTCAATGTTGAACTCTTCCTCAGACTTGGCATCTATTTCTTCGGCCTTCTCATTGGCTTCCTGCTCAATGAAAGCCATCATGTGCTTAATCTGCTTCTGCACATCGACATCACTCAAAGCCATGGTTGTTCCTGGAAAGGGAGGCAGAGGGAGAACCGGCAGTCCCTCTAGTTCCTTTGATTTAGGACTGCGTTTCAGGAATGACCTTGGAGTTTCACTTCCTTAGCTATGGAGTGCATAAGGGAAGGAAGGAGAGAGTCAGAATCCAAAAGGAAGGATTGCGAAGATCATCTATCACTGTTCATTTCACAGATGAGGAAACTGAGACCCAGGAAGGAAAAGCAACCTGTCCAAGATCATACCCTATAAGAAAAGAGATGTGAACACAGGTTCCCAGAGTTCTACCTCTGCTACACTCAACACTTTTGCATCATCAAATGATTAGAAAATTAGGGTATGCTTAGTCCAGAAGATTTTTAGACAGTGATGGCTTAAGACTCAAATAGCAAGTTGAAGGGATGAAATACCAAATTAACACAGAAATGGGAAGTGTATGTCCATTTTGGTCTGGAATGGGCTGGGGGGAAGTATAAGAAACTCACTGTCAGATGGGATTCAATCCAGGAAGGCTGTCTAGAGGCAGAAGGGTTTCAAGACCCCTCAACTAATACAAAAAAGCAGAATACTAGTAGACAGATGATGCCATCTTGGAGAGAACTGGGAGTGGGAGGGGTTGGGGGTAGTCTTTTCACCTTTTCACTGGAAGTGTACATTTGAATCACCTAGGGAAACTTTCAGAAAAACAGATTTCTAGGCCCCACTACAGACCACTGAATTAGAATCTCTATCAATAGGGTCTGACAATCTACATCTTAAAAAGCCTTCCTGGGATGCTTAATGAGCTCAGAAAAAATATACATGAACAGAGTAAGACTAGCAACAAAGAGATAGAAAGTATTGAAAAGAACCAAACAAATTTTGGAGCTAAAGAATGTAACTGAATTGAAAAATTCACTATAGGAGTTCAACAACAATCTTAATTTAGAGAAGAATAAACCAACAAATTCAAAGACAGGTCATTTGAAATTATCCAGTCAGAGATACACATTAAAAAAAACAGTTTAAGAAAGCCTAAGGGACATATGGGATATTGATAACTGAATCAATATATGCAATATGGGAGTTCCAGTGACAGAAAACTTATTTGAAGAAACACCCCAGGGGCGCCTAGGTGGCACAGTCGGTTAAGCGTCCGACTTCAGCCAGGTCACGATCTCGCAGTCCGTGAGTTCGAGCCCCGCGTCGGGCTCTGGGCTGATGGCTCAGAGCCTGGAGCCTGTTTCCGATTCTGTGTCTCCCTCTCTCTCTGCCCCTCCCCCGTTCATGCTCTGTCTCTCTCTGTCCCAAAAAATAGATAAATGTTGAAAAAAAAAATTAAAAAAAAAAAAAAAAGAAACACCCCAATGTTGGAAAAAGGAAATGGACATCCATGGTCACAAATGAAAATGAGAAAGGAATCAAGACACATCACTAAAACCAGTCAACAAAAAGGAAGGCAGCAGGAGAGGAAGAGGAGCAAAAAAGCTACAAGACATATAGAAAACAATGAACAAAATGTCAATAGCATGTTCTTCCCTATCAGTCATTACTTTAAATGTAAATGGAGTAAACTCCCTAGAGTGGCTGAATAGGTAACCTTCTTTTTTTTTTTTTTT